AATATTAATTAGATTAAATATTAACATTCAACAAATATCTATATTAGTTATAAATAATAAATAGTAATATTAATTAGATTAAATAATAATCTAAAAATACTGTTCCCACAATATCTAAACTGGCGTTTGACTGTAAATCTTGGCACAATAGTCTAGCCAACTTGACACAAAAAATTAACCAACAGAAATCCACACTTTGTCAACTTGGTACCCCCATAATGGTCTCCTTAGATGCTACTTAATCTCTAAAAAAAGAACAATAACAAGGTCATAATTCTATGTAACATGACATGAGTATCCTATGTACAACTGAAAATTCACTTACCCTTTCCCCAGAAGAGGATGCAAAGTTTTGGGTAATGTTCACTCTTCTCCATGATATCCTATAATCTGAATTCTATAACATAAAGTCAATATACCTTATGTTGTATGACAAGGGGATGAGAGAAGGAAGAAAAAAAACAAGGTATTTGCTTTACACACATACAAACATAAACACAAAACATATTCCTAACACAATAGAAGAAAATACTCATTACAATTACAGTCTCATTTCTAGTAACTGGTCATATGGTTGTAGTTGGTATTTATAGACTGCCTTCTTCCACTACCCATTCTATATACCCTTTGCCTTCATAATCACTTCAGCATGTTGTGGTTCTTTACCTGGTGGAGTGACTCAAATTTTCATTCTTGAAGCACTTGGAGGCATTTATAGTCTTAAGTTGTAGTTTCCCATTGACTTTAATCACAGGGCATGATAACATGAGAGACACCCTAAGTGATGTCCTATATTCTAGACATATTCTTCCCTACCTTCATTATAGAATAGCAGTTCAATTTCCCTTGGTGATCAGGCTCAATCACTTAAGTCAACACAATTGCTTCCATCTCTGTTGATTTAGAACCATTAGTTGCATAGAGTGGTCAGGTAAATTAATTTTTAGTTCAATGGAATCTTAACTTCTAGTTTAATGAGTCATTATCATGTCTCCTGGTCGAAGCATTCCTCTTAGTTCTACAGGTCTTAGTTCTACAGACCTCTAGGCTTGCAGAGGATAAGGAAATAGGGACATGAAGCAAATATTTTGTTAGTGGGTCACGGTAAATAGTTGCCACTCCCATTTCTACCCTTTCATTCCTGGACCCATGAAACCTAAATATGGGAGAAACATCATATATTAGATACTATTCAGAGTACATATATCTTTCTGGAGGGCCTAGCTCCAGTCCTGCAAGGTATTGGATTCTAACTGGTGTTATAATTAAATCTTCAAAAGGCCATTCTACCATTCTATTAAGCCAGCTGCTTCAGCATAGTAAGACCAGAGAATTCTATGAGCATGGGCCCTTTGTTGCATGTCATTTGCTGTGCAGTGAGTTCCTTGGTTGGAAGCAATGCTATGTGGAATACCAGGGAAGGGGATAAAACATTTTGTAAGTTCATGGATGATAGTTTTGGAAGGAGCATTTATACAGAGAAGGCATTTATGTATTCAAAGTGTCCATTCCAAGAAGAACAAAACATTGCCCCTTCTATGACAGAAGTAGTCCAATGTCATCAACCACCATTGGGTGGCTGGCTGATCACCCTGAAATCATGCCATATCAGGGACTCAGTGTTGGCTTCTGTTGTTGGCAGATTAGGTACTTGGCAGAGACTGCAGTCAGATAGGCCATGGTGAGTGGAAGTCCATGGTTTTTTTTTGGAGAGTTTTTTTTCGCTATAGGGCGCGTGTGCTCGCCAGACAGAGAGAGACAGACTGAAAGCGAGAAATCACCCCACAGGGGGCATGGCCACGCCTCAATCCCTTCTCCTCCGTTCTCCTCTTGGGATCTTGGGCACGCACGCACATGCACCTGGCGTGAGTTTTAAGCCACTGGGTCCGGGACACGAACTGCGGTCGATTATGTGGGAGTCCAGCGACATAGCCATTACTCTATCTGCTGGTCCCGGAAGTCCATGTTTTTGATCTCATGCATAATCTCCCTCCTTGTCACTTTGACCACTTTGTTCATGAGCTCATTGGACAATGAGAGAAGCAGCTGAGAAAGAGCCTGACTGGCATCCAAGAGCAGAACATGCTATCTGCTTTCTTATTAGAATACCCCTCTGATGAGATCACTCTTTGGAAAGAATTTACATAGGATATAAATAAGTTAATATTTTTCTCCCATTGAAAGAGCTTTTTCACCCATAGCTGTTTGCCAGATCTCTTTGTCAGCAATTTTTCACATTCCCTCTGAGTCCCTGATCATCTGATCATCCTATCAGAGCATTGACCACTGCCCATGAATTGGTATATGACTGTATGCTCAACTTCATGGTTTCATGGGTCAGATAACACCCAGTTCATGATGGGCAGCATAGGTTCCAATGTAACTTCATGGCCAATGGTTAAGCATCTTGTCTCTATTAAGGTTCAGTAGCAGTATAAAAGCTGTTTCTCAAAAGGAGAGTGGTTATCTGTAATTGATGGCAAGGCTTTGCTCGAAAAAAATTCTAAGGTCTGCTATGATTCACTTTTGGAAGCATGCCAAAGGCTCCAAACAGCGTCTCTATCAGCCATTGACACATAGAGCACCATTGGAATTGCTTGATCAAATGGTCTAAGTGGCATAATAGCTTGGTTAAAGGCACTGGACTCCCACATGGCCGACCACGGTTCAAGTCTCAGACTGGTGGCTTGCTTTCTCACTTCCTCCCTCTCTCTCTCTCTCTCTGTCTCTCTCTGATCAAACTGAAAAATAATAATGATAATGATAAATGAAGTTAAACAAAGTAATTTTTTTAAAAAAAGACAATGTCCAGGGGCCTGTGGATGGCATAGCAGTTATGTCGGTGGATTCCCATATGGTGGACTGTGGTTTGCGTCTTGGAACCAGTGGCTTGAAACTTATACTGGACGTGTATACAGATGTGCCCAAGATTCCAAGAGGAGAATGGAGAAGGGATTGTGGTGTGGCCATCTCCCTGGGGGGGGCGATTCCTGTTTTTTTGCTCACTGTCTCTGATTCTCTCTCTTTGGTGAGCACATGCGCCCTAAGGCAAAAATCCCTACCCAAACACACACACACACACACACACACACACACACAAAGAGCATTGTACATCTCTTACTTAAAAATACTTTATTGCTACAAAATGCTAATGTTCATCCGAACCTTCAGTGAGTCAATCTTTTTGCATGTTTGGAGGGTCTTCCTCAATGTTGATGGCTAATGACTGATAAAGGTGATGTTTGCTAAAGTTTGGGGTGGCTGTGGCAATTTCTTAGAATATGACAAGGAAGTTTGTCACATCAATTTACTCCTTTTTTTTTTTTTTTGAGATGTTTTTGCTGTAGGGTGTGTGCACTCGCCAGACAGACAGAGAGAGACAGAGAAACAGAAAGTGAGAAATCACCCCCTAGAGAGGATGACTGTACCACAATTCCTTTTCCTTCACTCTCCTCTCTGGATCTTGGGCATGCACACACTTGCACCTGTTGTAAGTTTAAACTACTGGGTCCGGGACTCGAACCACAGTCAACTGCATGGGAGTCCAGCGACAGAGCCATTATGCCAACTGCTGGTCCCCAATTTACTCTTCTTTTCAGCTAGTGTGGAATTATTTAAAACTTGCAAACAAGGTTGTATTTTTTTTTTTTACTGCATATAATAAGTACAAATTAGGAGGTCAGAAATATTAATTCATTGATTTACTCTGAGTGTTAAGTAGTGAGTATAAAGAGCACCTCCCAAGCACTGGGGGACTAGGGTAATTAGAACAATAATACTGATAAAAATGAACACACAATGAGCACTTCCTCTATGCCAAGCATCTGCCCAGTGTTTTCCAAACCTTATTGATGATTCTCTGATGACCTATGAGGTGGGTACGATTATCAACTCGAATTTACAGAAGAAGAAACTGAGGCTTAAAGAGACTCAGCCATTTGCCCATGATTGCATGGCTGTTAAATGTCATGGCTAATATTTGAATCCAGATGCATTTGACCACAGAGATGGAAGTACTTTGTTACAGACTCATTAGTGACTTTATAAATGTCACTTAACTTCTGAACGTTACCATGCGATGATGGAATCCAATGAGGCAATCTGTCCAGTTCCTTCTAGTTCTTTAGAGGTGAAACTCTCCAGCTAAGGAAACCATTTCCACTACCCACCCACCCTATAAAAGGGGTCCTTGTAGTGCAAGTGAAAGTGATGCTGAGCAACAGGAACCTTATAGAAATTTAGCTGCATAGACACTAGTAGGAACCTGGCCCAGTGAGATGGGGGCTGGGAGGTGATGGCCAGAATCCATTCTCTCCAGCTATGTGGGTTTTTTTTTTTTTCCTCATTCATTTAGCCAAAGATGGAGAGAACAGCTTGATGCTGGGCAAATAAGACTGGGATGCCTTTCCCATCCATTCAGATTGCTGTCTGCATATCTTTTTCCATGACTGATCCACTCCAGTAGACCTGGAAAAAATAGGTATGAAGAGAGGAGGTCAGGAAAAAACAAGGGGGCAGTTGGAGATCCATTTTGACTAGGAAGATTTGCACTTGATCTCCTAGTAGAAGGTGGAGTTGAAGTGGCCCCTCCCATGAGTCACATCCCCCATCAGCTGTTTCCTCCTTTCTTCTCCTTCAAGTATCAATTACTATATATGACAAGTATCCCCAAAAACCTTACTCACCACCAACCAATCTTGCTGAATATGAAACTGACAATGGCAATAAAAGCTAGTATCTTTTGAGTGCTTATTATGACAGGCTTTTTCAAGTATTATTTAATCCTCATGACAATCTTCTAAAGTGGATGCCAGTATCACCGCATTTAAGAGAGGGGAAACTATCTTAGAGCTGTTGAGTGAATTGTTTCAGGTTCCAGGTACACCAAAAAGTGGAGCTAGAACTTGCATTTTGAGTCTTTCTGGTACCACCCTGGTGCTCTGATCCAGAACTTGGTTCTGCCTCCTGCAATCCTGAGTCTAACTGTTCTTTATACCCAGCTTGCCAGTGTTCAGCCTTGGGATCCTACCAGATGCCCTGCAATGCAGTGACTGGGCAGTGTGAATGCCGACCAGGGATTACAGGACAGCGGTGCGACAGGTGTCTCTCGGGAGCCTATGATTTTCCTCACTGCCAAGGTAGGGAAGCCAGCAGAATGCCTGAGAGCTGGTTCCTCTCTGAAGTGCATGCAACCAGTTTCACAGAGTAGCCTACAGCCCTGGCCCAACAGAGCAACCCTAATCATCCCTACACGTTTGACTCAATGTGCCTGGATCCCTCCAATTCAAGTCCATTGAAAATGCCTGCATCAGACATACATTCTCAGAGGAATCCAGAAGTGACTTCTTCCTAACCAAAACAAACCTAAAATGCCCATGTGCTCTAAATTTGGGTTTGTTGGCTCTCTGTCTAGCAACGTGGCAAAGGTGATTCAGAGCAACCAGAGGAGTGTTCACCGTTCCCTGTCCCATGACATCCTGCCTTTTCTCTTTACCTGCTTGTGGCACTGATATTGCTCATATTGTGATCTTTTTAACAAGTCCCCTTGACAACAAGATAAGTGGAACTTTTTCTGTGTTTTTGCTCCTCCTTGTTAGTCTTTGGACTCGTGGGGGCTGTGCCATCTGTGTCATCATACTTCAGCACTGGTGGTGGGGACGGGGAGGGAAGGGAAGAAGTGCATTGGAGTCTATGCAGTTTTTAGCTAACAAGAAGACAGAAACCAAACCCACTGCTACAGGCTGTTATCAGTATTCAGCCGGCCCACTATTGATATGTGAAGATGGAGTGTATGGCGTATGGTGGAATGGACAGAAAGGAGATGCCAGAGTATTCCTTGGGCTCCTTGGTGCTCTAATTCTCCAAGGACAGGCCAGTAACTTCTGACTGCATTTTAGAGGACTGTTGCTTTGTTGAGAAGAGGAGTTGGAAGGTTGACCCAGACTTTCCATCAGGAGAATAATTTTTCTAGATTCTGTCCTGCTCCTGATAAACTTTGAACCTGGCATCCAGAATTGTTGGAAGACAGGGCTATAGCACAGGATTCATTTCCCAGTATTGTACCAACCAGAATCCTCGAGACCCAACAGCAGAGCCAGCAGTCAGTGAAGACTGCTGTCCTTTGAGAAGGCCCAACTGTTCCTAGAATTCAAGGGTAAACAGGGTGGGTCTGCCACCTCCAGAGATGTCAAGAGTGAAAGGAAGTGTTGTGGTCCTTGGAGAGGGACTGAACAGCTGTATCCACCAGAGTTCCAGGTGGCAACATTTGTCCTCCTGGGGAGGACCCGAAGGCTGGGTATAGCCAGGCAGGAAAACAGAGAGCAGCAAGGTTGTATTGTCATTATAGGAAAATGCAGAGCAAAAGAGGGAGAGAGAGAGAAGAAAAAGAGTCATCAGGGGAAGGCGAGGCAAACAGATAAAGAAACTAAATAGTCTAAAAGGCTAAGGAACAACTTGTGAGAAAACAAGATCCTGTATGGATTTATTTAAATGATTTGAGGAACTAGCTCAGAACAAGCTCAGCTGACCTTTTTTGTTTTTCAGTTGTAACACTGAAATTGTACTGAGACTGCAAGATCCCCATTGATTGGAGAGATGGTTTATTAGGATTACAGTGCTATACTGACCAAGGCAGAAAAATGGTCTAATTGACATTATCAAAAACTTTAGCAGAGTTGGGAGCAAGGGAGTTGTGATAATTACAGAATGAACTCTTGCTTAACTAAAAGATGTGCTTATAAATTCTGTACTTTCTTTTTTAATGGACAATTAAAAATCTTTTGGGACAATATTGCCCTCTTCTGGTCAATACTAAAGATGCTCAAAATTTTTAGACCCTCTTTTCTCTGATCTCCTTCATCATCAATTAGAAATAAACTCTTATTAGTAGGCAGGCAATAGGAATGTTCAGTGGTGAAAGGGTGATTTGGGGACTAAGGATAAAAAGTATTTTCTGGGATGACTTTCTTTGAATTGCATGCAAAATCTTTGCCACCTGTCTATCAAAAAAATATATAGATGTAAAACTCCAGGTATTAAAAAAGCCTCTAGAATTTAAAACATTCTAAATCCTATACAGGTTCTAGCAATACTTGTGACCCAGCTGGTACCATGGACTCCAGTTTGGTAAGTAGAGGGTTATGGAAGGGTTGCAGTTCCAACCATTACTCTGGTGCTCATTAAAGACTAGACTAACAGCATACATGTACAAAATCCTGAGAGGAGAATGGAGAAGGGATTGCAGGGTGACCATTTCCCTGGGGGTTGATTTCTCACTTTGTCTATCTTTCTGTCTAACAAGCAAACCCTATACCAAAAATCTCTCTCAAAAAAAAAAAAAAAGTTTAACAGTGTGGGGCCAGCAGGTGGCATGGTGGTAAAAGAGATGGACTCCCACATGACTGACCACAGTTCAAGTTTCAGACCTAGTGACTTTTCTCTTTCTTTCTCTCTCTCTGGTGAGTGCATGTGCCCTATAGCAAATGAAAATAGTAATAATAAAATAAAATAAAATAAATTATTATTTAAAAAAAATTTAAAGACTATCAGTATGAAAGTTTCTTGAAATTCAAAGGAAACTAAAGAAAGACCGGAAGACAAATTGCTTAAAGAGATCATTGTTAGTTTTCATGCATATTTTATTTTATGACTGAAAGAAAAAGTATAAGGTTTATTTAAGCTTTTTCTAGAGTCCTAGGGTTTAACTCTTACTGCAGGTTACTCAGAGGGTTGCCATGGATCCCTGCATATGCCTAATATATATAACTAATGCAGTTGAGAAAATCAGTGGCCAAGGACACAATAAATAAAGTTAGCTACATACAAAATAAAACTTATTTTATTTTATTCCCATATATTATACCAATACTAAGAAAGGCTGAATTGTTTCCTAAGACCTTCTAAGGCTCAGAGCCTAGATATATAGAATCTCTAGGCATTGAATGGACAAGGAAAAAGAGGTTCTGCTGTCCCTTTTTTTTTTAAAGCATTATTTAATTCTATTATTTACTTATTATTATTATTTACAAATTCAATCATTACACATCATTTAATTTGTTAAGAGAGTTTACCCAACATGATATATGCCACACAGGAGACAAGTTGAGAATACTATACACATCACCAACAGGCAACAAACCATATCTGTGTCCCACAAATGTCTTACTTCTCCATATTTCCCTTCCTGCACTCCTCCCCTCTTCCAGCCTCCTTCCACTTTGTCCCCAGTACACATAACAATTTTCGATGCTTTTATGTCCTCCAGTCTTTCGGTCTCTATCATAGAGTATAGATAATCGGTTTATGTTAAGTGGAGACATACAATGCCTCTGTTTCATAGACTGACTTGCTTCACTCAGCACTAAATCTTCCATGTGTGTTCACAACCAGAGTCTTGGTGTTTATTATGACTGAATAGTATTTCATGGAGTATAGTGTCATACTTTTTCAATCAATTCATATGTTTGTGGACATTTGGGTTGGTTCCATGTCTTAGCAATCATGAATAGTGCTGCAATGAAAATAGTTGTGCAAGCGCTTTTCCGATTGAGTACTCTCCTGTCCTTTGGAGAGATACCCAGGAGTGGAACTGGTGGATCATATGGTAGTTCTGTTTAAAAGTCTTTGAGAAACCTCCATGTTGTTCTCTACAGTGGTTGAACCAATTTACATTCCCATTGGCAGTGTAGGAGAATTCTCTTTTGCTACTTTCCAACACTTACCTTTTTTTTTTTTTTTTAAATTCACCATTCTGACTGGGGTTGGGTAGTATCTCATCGTGGTTTTGATCTGCATCTCCTTTCTGATCTGATGAGAGATGTTGAGCATATTTTCATATGCTTTTTGGCTGTTCATATGTCTTCCTTAGAGAGCTGTTTATTCAGCTCTTTTCCCATCTTTTAATTGGGTTAATCATTTTCTTCTGGGTAAGCCACTTGAGTTCCCTGTGTATTCTGGTATTGGTCCCTTACCTGAGGCATAGTTAACAAAAATTCTTTCCCATTCCAAGGGTCATCATCGATTCACATTAATTACTGTGTACTTTGCTGTACAGAAATTTCTTAATCTGATGTAATCCCACCTGTCTATTTTGGGGATTATTGCCTGTGCTTTGGGGGTCTTGCTTAAGAAGTCTTTGCCTACCCCAATGTCTCCCAGAGTTTCCCTGGTGTTTTCCACCAGTAGTTTTATAGTTTGTGGTCTTTGGCCTAGATCTTTGATCCACTTTGAGTTGATTTTTATTGATGGTGACAGATAAGAGATCAGATTCACCTTTTTGCAGGTGGATACCCAGGTTTTTCAGCACCATTTGCTAAAGAGGTTTTCCTTTTCCCACTGGATTGACTGGTGCCCTTTGTCAAGGATGAGTTGGCTATATGTTTTAAGGTTTATTTCTGGGGTCTCTACTTTGTTCCATTGGTCTTCATGTCTGTTTTTGTGCAAATACCATACTTTTATTTGTTTGTTTGTTTTTAGAGAGGTTTTTGCTATAGGGTGCTCGCACTCGCCAGAAAGACAGAGAGAGACAGAGAGATAGAAAGTGAGAAACCACCCCGTGGGGGGAATGGCCACGCTGCAATCCCTTCTCCTCCATTCTCCTCTAAGGATCTTGGGCACGTACGCACACGCGACTTGTGTGAGTTTAAGCCACTGGGTCCAGGACTCGAACCACGGTCGGCTATATGGGAGTTCAGCGACATAGCCATTACACTAACTGCTGGTCCCCAATACCATACTGTTTTTATTATCACAGTTTTGTAATATATTTTGGGGTCAGGAAGTGAGATGCCACCCACTCCACTCTTCTTGTGCAGGATGGCTTTGGCAATATGGGATTTTTTATGATTCCAGACAAATTTTATGGTTATCTTTTCTAGATCAGTGAAGAATGTCTCTTGTAATTTTATAGGGATTGCACTAAATATGTAGATTAATTTGGGTAGGATTGCCATTTTGATTATAACAATTCTCCCAGTCCAGGTACGTGGGATGTCCTTCCACTTTTTGGTATCCTTTTTATTTCTTTTTAAATTTTTTTTATAGTTTTTCTTACAGAGGTCCTTAACTTCCTTGGTTAGTTTTATTTTTAGATATCTTATACTTTTTGTGGCTATGGTAAATGGGATTACTTTCTTCAGTTCTGTCTCTGTTGCTTGTTTATATAAAGAAATACAATAGATTTTTGTAAGTTAATTTTGTATCCTGCCACTTTACTGTATGCATTTATTATTTCAAGAAGTATTTTCATGAATACTACTGGGTCTTCTATGCATACAATCATGTCATCTGCAAACAGCTTCTTGCCCTATCAGAATGCCTTTTATTTCATTCTCTTGTCTGATCGCATTGGTTAGAATTTCCTATTCTATATTGAATAGAAGTGTAAAGAGAGGGCAGCCTTGTTTTGTACCGGTTTTTAGTGGAAAAGCTTTTAGCTTTTCCCCCATTTAGTATAATGATAGCTGTAGGGTTTTCTTTGATAGCATTTATGATGCTGAGAAATGATTCTTTATGCCGAATTTACTGAGAGTCTTAATCATAAAGGAATGTTGTATTTTTGTCAAATGCTTTTTCTGCATAGATTGAAATTATCATATGGTTTTTATTTTTCTTTCTGTTAATATGGTGTATTACATTTATGGTTTTGTGAATGCTGAACCACCCTTGTTTCCCTGGAATAAAGCCTTCCTGTCGTGATGAATAATCTTTTTTATATGCTGTTGAATACTGTTGGTAAATATCTTGTTGATAATCTTTCGAATGCTGAACCACCCTTGTTTCCCTGGAATAAAGCCTTCCTGTCGTGATGAATAATCTTTTTTATATGCTGTTGAATACTGTTGGTAAATATCTTGTTGATAATCTTTCCATCTATATTCATCAGAGATACAGGTCTGCAGTTTTCCTTTTTTTGCTGTATCCTTATCCATTTTAGGAATGAGGGTGATGGAGGCTTCATAGAATGAATTTGGAAGGGTTCATTCCTTTTGGATCTCTAGATACAGTTTGAGTAATGAGGGTTACCTCTTTTAAAATTTTGTAGAATTCAGCAGTGTAGACATGAGGAACTGGACTTAGCTTTTTTGGGAGATTATTTATTACTGATTCAATCTCATTGCTTGTTATGGGTCTATTCAGGCTTTCTGTGTCCTCCTGAGTCAATCTTGGTAGATTATATGTGTCCAGGAATTTGTCCATTTCATCCAGATTTTCTTCTTTGTTGGTGTATAGCCGCTCATAGTATCCTCTAGTGATGTTTCATATTTCTGTTATGTCAGTTGTAATTTTGCCTGATTCGTTGTGAATTTGATGTATCTGATTGTTTCTCTCTTCTTAATTAGTGTAGCTAATGGTGTGTCAATTTGGTTTATCTTTTCAAAGAATCAGCTTTTGCTTTCATTTATTTTCTGTATAGTTTGTTTGTTTTCTATTTCATTTATTTCTGCTTGAATTTTTATTATTTCTTTTCTCCTGGCAGATTTTGGATTTTTTTTTTCCAATTCCCTGAGTCACGACGTTAGGTTGTCCTTTTGCCACCTGTCTGTCTTTTTCTTATGCACACTAATTGCTGTGATCTTCCCTCTTACGACTGCTTTTGTAGTGTCTCATCAATTATGGAAACTTATCATTTGTTTCCATGAATCTTTTTATTTCAGTCTTAATCTCTTGAATAGTCATGAAGTCATTTAAAAATAAGTTATTTAGATTCCCTATATTTATGTATTTTGAGAGTTTTTTCCTGAGACTAATACCAAATTTAATTCCATCATGGTTGGAGAAGATACTGGATATCGTTTCTGTGACTTTGAATCTGTCAAGGCTGTTTTTGTGCCCTATCATGTGGTCAATCTTCAAGAAAGTGCCATGTGGGGCTGAGAAGAATGTATATTTTGTGTTTTTTGCATGGAAAATTCTATAGATATTTGTCAAGTTCATCTGAGTTATGTATTGTTTAACTTATTTTTTTGTCTCATTGATCTGTCTAAAAGAGATAATGGGGTGACAATTATTGTGTTACAGTCTCTCTTTCCTTTTAGATCTAGCAGTCTTTCCTTTACATATTTGGGTGTTCCTGAGTAGGGTGTATACATATTTATAAGCATTTTTATATTTTTGATGAATTAGCCCTTTTACTGTTGTATAATTCCCTTCTTTGTCTCTTCTTATGATTCTTACTTTAAAGCCTATTTTGTCTGAAATCAGTATAGCAACTGCACTCTTTTTTGGTTTCCATTGGCATGGAATACCTTTTTCCAGCCTTTCATTTTTTAATTTATGTATGTCTTTATCTATGAGATGGGTTTCTTATAGGTAGCAGGTGGAGGGTTTCTGATTTTTAATCCATTCAGACAATCTGTGTATCTTGATCTGAAAATTTAACCCATTGACATTCAATGTTTTTAGTGCTATTTACAGACTCATTCCTACCATTAAGTTGGCCAAATTCTTTGTTGTTTTTTGTTCTCTTATTGCTGTCTGTCTTTTCTTGGTGTAGTACTCCTTTCAGAAGTTCTTGAAGAGCTGATGTAGAGTTGGTAAATTCTTTCAGGTTTTGTTTATCCAAGAACATTTTTATCTTCTTTTCTCATATGAAAGGTAGTCTTGCTGGGTATAGTATTCTTGTTTGAAATTGTGTTTCATGTAACACTTTGAATATATTTCCCCATTCTTTCCTTGCTTGTATTGTATCTGATGAGCAGTCCGGTGTTAGCCTTATGGGATAACCTTTGTAAGTGACTTGATGTTTCTTTCTTGCCAATCTTAGTACATTGTCTTTGTCTGTGGTTTTGGCCTATCTAGCTATGATGTACCGTGGGGAAGATCTTCTTGGATTGACTCTATTTGGGGTTCTTTGTATTTCTTAGGTCTGAATGTTTGAGTGCCTCTCTAGACTTGGAAAGTTTTCTTCCAGAATTTTGTGGAGTATATTATTAATGCTCTTATCAGTTTCTTCACCTTCTGGGATACCTTTGGATGTTTGGGCATTTCATGGTCCCTAGTATTTTTCATATATTATCCTCAGTTTTCTTAGTATTTTTGATATTTTTTTCTAGGTCAGAGGTTTTTGTCTTCTACTTCCTAATTTCAATCTTGCGCATAGCCTAACCTGCTTTTAATACTTTCAAGCAAGATTTTGATTTCCTATATTACAGCCTTCATATCTAACAGTTCTGTTTGATTCTTTTTTTTCTTTTTTAGTGTCCGATTCTTCTTTCATGTTGTGGAAGGACTTCCTCATCTCTTGGAACTTAATGTCTCTTCTGTCTTACATCTCATAGAATTTTGTTACCATAAATATTCTAAATTCTTTTTCTGACATTTTGGTAATATCCTCTAATTTTTCCC